GATTAATACACCCACTTGACACAATCAGAGAAACGAAATATTCACGGTTTTAACTGACCTAACCGTAACTAAAAACAATCTATACTAAATCACATCACTGTTATGATTGCTTCGTGGCTGCCAGACAGACTGGCGTGACCCAAATAAGAACCAAGCATTATTTGTGTAAGAAATCACCCGATCACTATTAGAAATCATAAAAGTGACCACACGTGCCATGGAACTGTGACCTCAGTCAGTTTGACTGTTCTCCCACCGTGTCGCACCATTAAACGAACTGCAAATTTGAGTTTACGTGAACTCATCCGATAAAATGTACGATTAGTGGAATCATTTGAATACGTCTTTGTGTGTGTGTGTGTTTTGTGTGTCGGATAAACTGTTGACTGTGTGACCATATAAATGTGAGGACAATTTACTTTTATCTTTCAAGTGTCACTGAAGTGAACGGACTACTCTAGCAAGATCATGACCATGCCCATAACCTTGCTCCGGATTTGTCCGATAATTCTAATCATTGGATGGCTTTCCGAACGTGAGATTTCTTTCTGCGCCTTGTGTGTGTGTGCGTGCGCGATTTGATATCGTTGCATGAAACGAATTAAATTTGAATTTTAAAATTTGAATTTCTTTCTATTTGAATGACTAATTACATCCTTATACATCAGTCAATCTATTTATTTGTTCACGTGTTCAGCCAATTTGTTTTTCTTCTTTTAAGTCACACGATCGCACAGCTAAATTTTGCAATCGAATCTTTTCCCGGTTGACGCATTTCATGATCATGTTTCCCGGTTGTAGGTTGTGCAGCAGACCGGACAATAGAAGCCTCTGGTAAGTGTTCGGTGAGCCAATAATAATTATTGGCGCACGCACAGATGTTGATCATAAGTAGCGGTGGTGGCCCGGTGGTAACGTCACCAAATTATCACCCCGTTGATGTGTTCGAATCCCACCACCACCGTCTGACTCTCTCCACTGTGTGGTGAATGACAGCCCTTTGATTGACCGCTTCCCCCTTCCTGAAAATGGTGTTTTTGCATATTCAATAGAAGGAAGTAAAAGAAAAAAAGATAAATTATTTGATCTTACCAGAGTATGGATTAATTTCATCAAGGTGATACTAATGCGGTTTTCTACTGATGCCATAGATTGTCAGTCAAGATTTATTCTTGTGTGGACAGATTTACTATCCCTTCGTTAGTGATGCCTCACAGAATGCTGCTAGGAAAACCCCCGTGAATAGTGGGCTGGCGCTTACTTCATAGGATCACACACTTCGGTCGAGATAAAAAGTCCAAGGTGCCCATTAAACCTCGATACAAAATCGAGCCGATGATCACTGCCACAACCAGGATGGTGTGAGTATTTCTCTCTCTCTCTCTGTGCGGCTCGAACGCCTCTGCTTGGTTGGTTTGGAATCAGCCAACTCACATACGTGAACTGCCAGTGGTTCACTAACCCGGTTATTGCTCCGAATGTCGTTTTATTATCTTCTCACTTTGGTGGGAAAACACCTCCACCACGGGAAGGCAGTGAGCAGTGAGCTACTTCAGCAGAGGCTGTTTGAAACCCTTGTTCTTATAAGATAATTTCGCGAGATGCAACGGAATGGTGACACCCACACCCGGCCATACTGAGGCTTTTGGAGGTGAGACATACGTAGACAAAGAAGTAGGTGAGCTGATACGAAACGGCCCTTAGGTTTAACTTGACGGAATTTTTTCTAACGGCTTCACCATTTTTTCTTAAATCTAGAATTGCCTGTTTGTTGATTTTAATACATTTATATGAATGCATGGAAATCCTACGAAAATGTAAATGATCTACACTTGTTTAAGGTGTGTCCTTGCCAAGTTGTACGTGCATCCGAAAAGAGAGAGATGAAATATGATTTGGTAACATTTGGATGAAAACAACCTGGATCATTTTGTTAGGGCGGGTCCGCACGGGTAACGTGCACTTTATCCTGGTGAATTTTCGATTCATTATTTCACGCCATTTTCATCATTTTCACTATTTTTATCATTAATCCTAATAATTTTTAAATTGTTTTTATCTAATTATTGTAACTTTCCTTATTATTAGAAGTATGGTTATTATTATTATCATCATCATTATCAACCGATTTCCTAATCTACCAGCGCATCATTTTGCGCATATAGTACTCACGAGTAGTATCTGTCTGCCAAGAAGTGATAAACAGGTGGTGGAAACTGTAGTTTTGATCAATCGGAAATGGTTACAATTCAGTTCAGGGCTCTACAGCTGATTGTAAGAAAGTTTCATTTACTTTCAAATGAAAATAATAGGTTATGCAGGCTAAACCGTTCAAAGCTCGCCACTCAGTCAGGTCAGCCTTCCATTGGTTTTACACCTTTTGTTGCAGCTACAATGAAACATGCATTGGCAGAACCGACCGATCGCTGCGAATTAGAGTAGCCGAACATATCAGGGACGCATTCTAGACCATAGATTCTGACTGCATCACGTAGACCGACATCCCTCATCGCACAACACTTGGTTGAAAGCGGTCACAAAGGAGAACCTTCGAACGCATTCTCGATTCTTTGACGTCATCGCGACAAACACGGACTAAGGATACTCGAGGCATTCTCAATGGATCACAACAAGCCCACGTTTGATGTCCAAAGCCGTATGGCATTTACCCTTGACGGTTCCTTCCTGTGACCAATCATAGGCATCAAACAAACACACACACACACACGTACATAAATACACGCACACAAATATACGACGAACTAGATTTTTTTAATTCACTTCATTTATTGATCGATGAGAGTAACTTAGGGTAATTCTCTTGGCAGTATTTATCTTCTGGCTTGCCTTTTTCAAAAATTGCTTTTATTCTTTTGTAACCAGGCTCAACAAACAACGTTCTTTCCAAAACGGATACTGTTTTGTGTACAGTTTTATCGTTTTTGTCGTTGTGCACATAAAATTAACCAACGTTCAACTCTTTCAGTTTACGAAATTAATCTCAATGTTACATTGAATAAATGGATTGAAACGGCATCCACAAATCCGGAACCTTATTCTACGATGGATCCTGTATGCCATGAGGTAATGAGCTTTAGTTGAATATATCACATTATTCGTCTTCATGATATCTCTCATTCACACTTGGGTGACCTGGGGTTATTATTAGCCAATAAATAACCAATTGATCCACATTAGTTCTACAAGCGAGAGAACAACAATAGGATTTACTTTTTTGAACTGATTTTCTTGTCGACATGGTCGTTTATCTTAATGATTTGAACTGACTAACCTTCGGACTCCACCTTCACGCAGTCCTCAATTCACTGAATCAACCATACACTCGGAAGCAATACACTCGAGTTTCGCTTTTATTAGGGCTCGTCAGTAGTGCATGTCCACCACCTTGCCCAGGATTCGATCTCCAGATCCATTGCACGGAAGGGGTGTGCGTTATCACTATGCCAGCCAGTTCCTACCGTGACTGGGCCAAATTGCCAATTGATGTTTTATCAGGTGTCGTCTTCAGTGGTAGTTCATTTTTCCCGACAACAACGGAAGGAGACACAGATGAAAATCTGTCAACTAAAATTGAAAGCCCCCTACTCATTCAGGACTTTCATGCAGGTTACGGGATGATTCATCAACGAACCTACAAGGATGGATCGATAATTCGCATTTAACTCACAGTTGCTTTTCGGTTCCAAACGCGGGAATCTCTCTCCCGCTCTCTCTCTCTCTCTCTCTCTCTCTCTCT